GATCAACGAGAAAATTTTCACGTAAAAGGAGGAACGTCGGGAGAGTTTTTTTGGAGAGCTGTGTTCCGAGTTATTCGTAAATTCAATTTCGCAATGTTGAGCGCGGATTTAGTTTGACATTAGTTTGACATTAGTTTGACATTAGTTTAACATTAGTTTAACATTAGTTTGACATTAGTTTGACATCGGTTTGACATTAGTTTGACATTAGTTTCACATTGGTTTCACATTAGTTTCCCATTAGTTTCACATTAATAAACTGCTTAAATCTTTATCAATAATGTCAATATCAAGTTTTCAGTTTCAGAATTGTTTCAAGACTATTTCCGTGACAGGCCAAAGAAGGCAAGGCCAATTTAGAAACTTTTCTTCACTGCAGGCTTGATCTAATCAATTTTCACTTGTTGTTTGTCTTGTTTTTGTTTTACTTATTGCTTTCAAATTGTTTTTATAGTATTTTTCTATAGAAATCTATAGAGAAGTAACCCTTTTAGTGCACAAAAATGAAGAAATACGTGTTTTCCTTTTTGACTTAAAGAAATGCTTAAAGAAAATCAGCTCAAAGAAAATCCTTCAGCATAAAGAAATGAAATAAACTAAATTTTAGTTTCTGATTGTTTTTAGAAGGATTTTACCATCTAGAATCTACAAAATTTGAATCAATTTTTCAAATCTATTCAAAGCTGAAGATTTTGCAATCAAACATTACTCTTTTTTTACTCTTTTCTTTCTTTTTCTTTCTTTTTTTTTTCTTTCTCTTTACTCTTTTTTTTTTCTTAGACGAAATTAGGCTCACTTTTTATTGGTTTCACTCGTTCATAAAAACCAAGATAAACGTTTCTGATGTTTCTGTTTGATTCTTGATCATCAAATTATGAAATCTGCTTATTGATGGAGTTGCTAAAATGATTTTTGTTCTCTTAAACAGTTCACCTGTTCTTAAACAAATAAATCTAAAGATTTTTCTTAAAAATCTCTTATTCCACTTTTCACAAAAACTTTCAGCTGTATTTTACTTAAAAAAATGAGGAAATAAAAAGATCGAGTTCTTTTTTGAAAAGTCTCGAGGGATTTCGAGGGTCAATGGATGCATATTTTTATGGAAAAGAAGAGAATTCATATCAAAAAAAAAAGGAAAAAACTCACTTTTGATTCACTCAAAGTAGTTGACTTCAGTAAGAAGTTGTTAGAATCAGATTGTGAGACAAATTTAAGATCAAAACTTTAAAAATAGCCCTTTTTACACAGAGAATACTAACTGTAACGTTTTGGTGCAACATTTTACCCCTTACTCATGCAGAAACATTCAATCATCAAATCTTTTTATCTTCTTCGCTTTTTTTTCACATATTTTTCTAATAGAATCGAAAACGTTTTTCATTTCTTTTCGATTCTTTTTTTTCTTTCTTTCCAATTAGTAAATTTTGTTGAGTGAAAACACCTGTCTTTTTTCCCCTCAAAAAGATTTTCATTCTAAATTTCATAAAGAAAACTTCAGAAAGATCCCATTCATTCAATTCATTCAAATATTATTCTAAAGTTTTCTATTTCATTTAGAAATTTTTGATTAACTTTTCAAAAATATATATATATATATATATATATATTGATACTTTATTCAGGACATGAAATAAAGCGTAATCAGTCAGACAATACACAAATCTACACATAAATACATAGAGAAAGATGAGATATTTTACTCGGCGATGTGGAGGCGGGGAGAAAAGAAGATAGATAGAAGATAGGCTTCTTGCTTTAATAACCTCAGGCCATGAATGGGCCAACCCAGTGGAAGAGTGAACTCCGCTAGAGAAGGGATCTCTAGTCAGCTCTAGAGAAGACACCTCTAGTCTGGGCGCACGGGCTAGGGAAGAGAACCCTAGGGGGGCCAAACCCCACACCCTCAGTTTGGAAGTGAGAACTTAACCAATACACCATGAGGGCCCTATATGTAACTTTGGTTTCATATTGAAAGTTACTTTCAGTAAAAGAAAAATTGTAATTTTCAAATTTAAAAGAAACTGTTAAAACTTACTTTATAAGAATGTTTTTATAACTTTATGTCACTGGTTCTTTGCAACATTTTTGCATTTAAGAAACTCGAGATCGAGCCTTCTAACGTAGTCATTTTCTATTCTCTAAATCTCTAACAATCAGAGCTAAGCCAGAAGTCAGGTTACGGGAATTTCCTAACAGATAAAGCTGAGTCAAGTCTGCAGCAAGGCCAACCTAGGTCTGCTCTAACTTAACTCAAAGAATTATCAATACTTGTGGCTTTTTGTGTCTAGAAACACTTTGTGGCTTGTGGCTTGTGGCCTATCTTTTACTTCATTTACATCGATCAACTTTTACAATAGAGTTTACATTTCAGAGATCTAAAAGAAAATAAAAATCAATGTTTTTAAGAATGTTTTTATAAAGTATTAAGAATAAATATAAAAAACAAAAAGCATCTTCTCAAAATTCACTCAATTCCTTCCTCAAAAAGATTTTCATTCTAAATTTGATGAAGAAAAATTCAGAAAGATTTCATTCATTCAATCCATTCAAATATTCTTCTAAAGTTTTACATTTCATTTAGAAATTTAAAAGAAACTGTTAAAACTTACCATAAGAATGGTTTTATATAAAAAAAAAGTTTTTCTTGAAAAATAAAATTGTTTTGAAGCAAAAGATAAGAACCCATCCATTCCTCTCACAAATCAAAGCTTTTCCTTTTTCTTCTCTTCGAAGAATCTTTCCATCACTTCTTCTAAATTCACATTTGATTAGTGATCCGCCTTTCTGTCTATTCTTTTATTCCCTATTTGACCAATTCGTTTTTGATTTTCTGGATAAGATTTAGATTAGAAGATTAAACACTTTTTCCTTAAGAATTGTTCTTATAAAGTAGCTTTGTTGACAAAAATTGCTGCGCTTTTTTCAGTGTTTATCAGCTTTTTGAATCTTTTCAAACTTTTACAACGTTATTGGCATTAGATAAAGAGATTTCTCTTTGGCTATTTGGCCAACGTAGTTTCCGTAGAAATAAACCATATAATTGGCATCAAATGCTTGATAAGAAGAGATTTGACAAGCTTTATCAGCTATCAAACTTTTACAATATTGTTGGTATTAAGATGAACAGTGATTTTAATTCTTTCGCTTTGCTCGTTTACAAATGATTCTAAATTTAAGATTAAATAACTTTAAGATTAAATAACTACACATTTGATTAGTGATCCGCCTTTCTGTCTATTCTTTTATTCCCTATTTGACCAATTCGTTTTTGATTTTCTGGACATGATTTAGATTAGAAGATTAAACACTTTTCCTTAAGAATTTTTCTTATAAAGTAGGTTTTTTTGACAAAAATTGCTGCATTTTTTTCAGTGTTTGTCAGCTTTTTGAATTTTTTTAAACTTTTACAATTTTACTTTTTTTGTTATTGCAATGTTATTGCCCTGATTACCTGTGAAAGAAAAAGCCCACTTGGTGGGCAAAAAGACACATTTATATCTTGCCAAAGTGATTGAACCCTCGACCTTCCTCATCAGCTATTTGGTCAATGTAGTTTCCGTAGAAATAAAGCATATAATTGGCATCAAGTGATTGAGAAGAAGAGATTTGACAATCAGCCAAGATTTTCCTTGTTGCACATAAATAGAGTCGATAGTTCCCTTGTGATTGAACCGTCGACCTTGCGCTTAAGAAACAAGACTCCTAACTGGTCGACCATCTGGTCAGAGTTTGAGGAGTTTGAGGTGAAATTTGTGGGTAATCTGCTGAAGAATTTGTTGAAAAATTCAATAAATCGATTGATTAGATAAAATTGATTGATTGATTGATTAGATGGATTGATTAGATAAAAACTAAAGGCTAGATTACGGTGAATTTTCTAAAATTTGTTGCCATCTGGCCAATCACTTGACTTATGACTAAAATTTTGAGTGCAATTCTTTTTTGGGATGAAAACCATGACTACAAAAGCTCTCTGTTCGGTGAAGCGAAATAATTTGATTCTTTCAGATTTTTTGCTCAAAACTTTTTCATCAATGAGTATTGTTTTTTGAAACACAAATCGTCGTAATCAAATTTCAAGCGAATTTTTTTGAGGTCATTGTCTGAAAAATGTGCTTTATGAATGTTCAAATACAAAAAATTTCTTTAGAAAAATAACTATAAAGCTGAATTTCTTAAGTTTTGTCATCAAAACATTAAACTAGAGTTGAATTTTTGTGAAATTTTGTGGAATTTTGTGAATTCGTCAAAGTTTTTGATGAAAAATATTATAAATTTGACCTTTCTTTTTCTCATTCTGACATTTTCTTATAGAAATTTCTGTTAAAGAGTCAAAAATTCTCATTAGTTTAATATTTTTGCAAGTTTTTATTAATAGAAATTTTTGAATGAGTACTTTTTTGCTTGAATTTTGAATGAGTACTCTTATTGGCTCATTTTATTTTATTTCGCACTTCCTCAACAATTTCCTTGTTTTCAATGTGATTTCAATTTTAAAACTGGAATTAGAAAGTGTTTACAGCTTTTGCTACATTCAATGACGTGATTCGTTCAAAAATGGAGTGGACCGACGAGTTAATGGTCGGAATCACCTACCGTAAATACTGTAATAGTATCCCACCCCCCTTGTACAGTCGCGTAGTCGCGGAAAAGGAGGAGGGGAAGAGGGGAAGATGACAGCCGTTTCGATGAGGGAATGGAGGGACTTCTCCCCTTGAGCAACTCTTTGATCTCTATCGTTTGCTCTTTCATGTCCCTATCCACTCTGATCAATCCAAAGTTCGGTCTAGTCTAGGGATTTCAAAACCTCTAGACCAGGCTAGACTTCTAGAACCAGACTTGGCTTTACTGATGGTCTGGTACGGTTTCCATAAAAATGCTTTTCTGTTATTTTACTTCCTCAACAATTTCCTTGTTTTCAATGTGATTTCAAATTTTAAAACTGGAATTAGAAAGTGTTTACGGCATTTGCCACATTCAATGACGTGATTCATTCAAAAATGGAGTGGACCGACGAGTTAATGGTCGGAATCACCTATGTGATCATTGGATTCGTCGGATTCGTTTGCAATTTAGCGACAGGTTTGGAGAAATTTTAAAAGGAATCTTTTACAAATGAAAGGAATGTTTAAAAGAAAAGCACAAGTCAAAAGATAACTTGAAAGTGATACAAAATCCTTGAAACCTAGCTGCACAGAAGTTCATTTATGCTCAATTTCAGTTGTTATGATCGGCACAAATCGTGTCTATCGTCTTTCTGCTTACACGATAATGGCTAATGTGGCCTTAGCCGATGCGATTATGATGCTCATTGCTGGTAAGGAAAGAATAAAAGTTATCAAACAAGCGCCCCGCCCCTTCCCCTATTAGCAATCTAACTTGGCGCACAAATATCTTGGTGTTGGTTTATCCAATTTAAATGTTCTTAATATCATTAGATGCGTCAAGTCTTTCTCTATCGATTGGTATATAAACTATTCAAATTGAACAACCCAACACCAAGAAATTTGATCTCAAAGTTATCAAACATGTGATACGTACTCTGCTCCTTTTCCCATTGACAATTTTACTTTAAGCTCAAATATCTTGGTGTTGAGCTATCCAGTTTAAATATTCTTGATATCATTAGATGCACAAAATCTTTCTCTTGTGAAAACTGCACAAAACATTACTTCTCTAGGAGTTGCTTGTGGTTGTTCCCTTCTCTGGCCTGGTGATGAGAGGCTCGGCTCGACTTTAGCCACCTACAAAGTGACTGGGAATGACTCAATGCCGGTAAATTTATTTAAGTTCAAAAATTTATAGAGATTAAATATTCGGTTTTTCCAATTTCAGGATATTCTGTCGATTCCGATCAACACAAACACTTTGGGAATCGTTCTTTCCCTTTGCGAGATTGCCGCTTGGATTGCTGGAGTGGTCAGCTATGCATTGTTAGGTAGAAAATTTGACTAGACATGAATATGAAAAGTATTATGGTTTTATTTGAATCTCTTGCCTATTTTTAGGTCTAAATCGTTGCATCGCCATCTGTTATTATGGAACGAAAGCCAGGGCTCTCAATCGAGTCTCCATCGCTATTGTCGGCTCGATTTTCACCTGGGTCATTGGGATTGCAATTGGTGAGTGGGGAAAGGATAATAATAACATAATAAGAAATTGAAAGGATTAAAGAAGGGGTTTGAATTGGGACAGATTCTCATTGAAACTGACGAAACTGGCTCAGTCGTTCATCGATCCTTTCCCCTTAACGGATTCCAAAAAGGAACCGCTCTATACTGATGCTTTTTTGACAAGACAATCATATTCAGTTAACTAAATTGATTAGCTGAATATTTCTATTCAGCTAATCTTCTTAGTAGGATGACTCAAACCCCATTTTTCGTCTTTGACTAATCAGCTGAAGACCAAAATCTTTCGATTGCTGAGAATCTCTTCATCACTTCTATTTATTTAATAAATTGTTTCCAAAAAGAATCAAGAACTTGTACTTAAGCCGATTTCCAAAAAATTACAAGTCTAGTAACTAGATTGCAATCAACGAAAAGATCTCTGTTTTCTCAAAAAAAACCAACAAAGGTTTGTAGTTCAACGAGCGAAATTTTTGGAGAGCCTACAAAAGAAGCCTCAAAAAACTTTTTCGGGAAAAATTCAGATTTAAAACATTAAAATTCTTCTTAATCATTCGATTCTCTTCAATGAGTTCGCTCTTATACAAAAAAAAAAGCTATTTAGCTGTAAATTTTTGAGTTTTCGGGGTTAGGGAAATGATTGGAGCTATTCACTTTATTGAGTCTACCAATAAACACGGAATTTCATTGTCGTTAAACTACGATACCAAGCTTTACTCAAGGTTGAAAGGCATTCTCTTCAATGAGTTCGCTCTTATACAAAAAAAAAGCTATTTAGCTGTAAATTTTTTGGTTTTCGGGGTTAGGGAAACGATTGGAGCTATTCATTTTTGTTGAGTCTACCAATAAACACGGAATTTCATTGTCGTTAAACTACGATACCAAGCTTTACTCAAGGTTGAAAGGTATCATATTTTCAATTCAAACATACTCTTGTACTGGGGATTGTCGACTTGTTTACAACTCTGTTTCCTAAATTCTAAGCACAATTCGCCTTTAGCAATCCTTGGAAGTATGCCCGAGCCATTGATGGGAATCCGGCGTGACATGTGGTCTTTCAGTTTCCTTCAAACACGCGGCGATCGACCTCGTAAGTTTAAAATCCACAACAAAACTGGATGAATGAAAATTTTGAACTTTAGCCCTACAACAAAATGGTAAGAGTGATGAATGAGAAAGAATTCTCTGAGTTGAATTCTGAGTTGAATAAGCACCGAAAGAGATCGTTTGCATGGCGCACAGCTGCTAACTAATTGCAGTTTCAGTTACAAAAATGAAAATATTTTGTTGATTAACAAAAAAAATTGACTGGATAAACGAATTCCCTGTGTTCTAGAGCTTTTCCTGATTCTGATGTTGGTGATTAATGGAGCGGGAGTGGGCGCACAATGGATTTGCTCGTCTTTGGTTCTACTCCGGATTCATCGTGTCAAGCAGAAGATCAGCCGCAACAAGATCAATCAAAACAGCGCGAATCGCTTCAAGAAACAGGTGAGTAAAGGATTTTAAAGGTTTTAAATTGAAATTAAATTACAAAGACAATGAATACTTTAGTCTTGATGCAGTTCTAAAGTCATTTTTCTTTTCCAATCATTGATGGCGCGTTTGGCTTGAACTTTGGATTTGACTTAATCCATAGACAACCGCACGGATTATGATTTAATCCAAGAAAGTTCGCAACACTGGTCACGATATGACATCGAATTTTTGTACTTCTGGACTATCATTTTGAAAACAAGCTACTCAATGAAGGCCATTAGCCAAAAATGTGGGGTAGGCTAATTTCCGCGGTGTCATGGTCTAGTAGTTAGTGCGTTTGTACCCGGCACAAGGAATCCGGGTTTTTGTAACTCTGAGGCCGAATTTTTAGCTTGTTAACTCTAAATTTAATTGTAATTCTAAATTTATAGTTGAACAAGATATGAATGAATCTAAAATCAATAACTCGAATACTTCCAGGCTCGTCTCACCTTTCAATTCTTCTATCCATCTCTTCTCTGCACGATCGCTTCACTCGTCTATTTCTGCAAGCCCTACGTGGTTGATCGATTGAGCGCCTGGCAATTCGTGGGATTGCATTTGGTGAGTTCAACTAGACTATAATAAAAAGAGATTATTTTTAAAATAAAATTGCATTTCTTTTCTGTACTAGAATTTACAAGAGATTGTTTTTAAAATAAAATAATTTTTTTCAGATTTGGTTGTGCAATCACGCGTGTAATCCCTTCATTTATGCCTACTTCAACGATCGAATGCGGCTCACTTACAGGTTTGGGAAAGACTAAAATGTTACGTTCTTAATCAATTTGTTTTATATGGAAATTTTCAGGGAAATGTTGACGTGTGCCCAATTGCGGTATCATTTGAGAAAGCGACGAATCTCACGCGGTTTCCGGCACAACCCTCGCCACAATGTCTCCAGGTTTTTTACGGTTTTTAAGTATTAATTAAAAAGCTATAAAGAAATATTCTGTAATATATATTTTTATCTTTCATTTTATCAACTTTGTTAGTACAAAATTCCCCAGTTACAGGCGATCGAACGCTCCAAAATCGACACGAATGTCGGCTCGATCAGTGAAAAGTCGAGACGGAAATTTTGTCCGAAACAGTTTACAGGTGAATTTTGATAAAAATATAAACTCAACAAGTATATTGACATTTAGTTTCTCAGAAAATCAAAAGTTTTGAAAAGTTTTTGTTTTACAGTTAGAAAAAAGGTACCGTAAATACTGTAATAGTACCCCACCATAATGACGGTGTGGAGTGTTGCGTTGTTTAGCTTTGAGCGAGTTTTTCTCGACACTGTTTTATGCTACAATGCGCGCTTAGTTATCAAAAAAAATAGCTGAAATTCAGGGCTATTTTTTCATAACAAAAACGATTTTTTTGAAAGTACGGGCGTTTTGAAAAAAATGAAATACTAAGAAAGTTTTGCGACTACTGCTTTAAATCCAGGGGCCCCTTTCCGGAAAAAAATTGTTATTTATATTATAAAATATAATAAAAAAAAAAAAATAATTATTTTTCTTTTATTTTTTTTTTTTTTTTATTTAAAAAAATAAAAAAAAACTACGCGACTGTACGAGGGGAGTGGGGTACTATTACAGTATTTACGGTATTTTTCTAATAGAATCGAAAACGAAAAGAAAACGAAAACGAAAAGAAAACGAAAACGAAAAGAAAAAGAAAACCAAAAAATAGCCCTTTTTACACAGACTGCAACATTTTATCATTCAATCATCAAATCTTTTTATCTTCTTCGCTTTTTTCACATACCGTAAATACTGTAATAGTACCTCATCCCCATAATGGCGGTGCGGAGTGTTGCGTTGTCTAGCTTTGAACGAGTTTTTCTCGACACTGTTTTATGCTACAATGTGCGCTTAGTTATCAAAAAAAAAATAGCTGAAATTCAGGGCTATTTTTTGATACCAAAGACGCATTTTTTGAAAGTACGGGCGTTTTGAAAAAAACGAAATACTAAAAAAACTTTTGCGACTACGCGACTGTACGAGGGCGGTGGGGTACTATTACAGTATTTTACTATTACTATTATTTACGGTAAGCATAAAGATTGAAAACAAAGAAGCGAAAATTGCAGAAATTTCTGATCTTGAAAATAGAAAATAGATCTTTTTATAAAAATAGAAATTATATTGTGCTAAAGAATTTACAGAATATTAAAGCAAAAACTTGCAGCAGAGATCAGAGTTTTATTTAGAGCTGGCACAAGTGTCCAGGTCCAGGCTCGGTTCATACTCATAATGGTACTATATGGTTATACCCCAAAGACAGAAAAGCCACGTGGCTAAATACGGTTTTCCCTGAAGCGCATCAACAAGACATCAGACATTGAGAAAACCGGTTTCACACATAAAACTGTCAACCATAAATACAACTTTGTCTCGTCAGACGAGTCAACTCAGCTCAGCCAACTCAGCCAACTCAGCCAACTCACAACAGAGTTCACAGTCCATGGCTTACACACAATGAATGCCTGTGGAGAGCAGCAAAATCAAGAAATAAAAGGCACCGCGGAACTGTTCGACATGGAAAGCTATCTAGCGGAGTTTATGTTTCATTCAGAAGTTGAACAAAACGATCTCTTTGAGTAGATCTTTGAGTGGATCTTTGAGTAGATCTTTGAGTAGATTTCATCGCATTATTTCCACTCATTACTTCCATTCTCCAATGATTCCCAATGTGTTTTGTTTTGTCATCGTGATTGGGTGTTAATGCAAACTTTTTAAAATCTAAATTTTGGGGTATGGGGATCACTGGTTGGGATGGGGGTATAACCAGATTCTTCGTCACTTTTGATTTAATCTTGTAGGCCTAGAAATGGCCTAGATTCTGGCCTAGAAAATCCTAAGCCTGGTTAGTAAGTATTTGAGGACCACACTCAAGAACAGTACCATTCAATTGCTATTTTTCGTTAGCCAATATTGCTCATAGCATTTAAAACATAGCAAAATAGATAAAAAAAACTAAAAAACATTTTAGCTTCAATCTCGTGACTTCGAGCAGCTGTGCGAGTTCATTATGAGAGTCAATCCACTCTATGATTCGTCGGAAGGATGGAGAGAAAGTAGTGATGAGGAAGATTTCGCTCCAGAGGTATGACTCATTTCTTGTAATCGCTTCATATCACTAATAGATTGTGCTAAAGAATTGGAAAGCCCGTTGGTAGGTGAATGAGTGGATGAAAAGAGAAAAGAAAAATTATAGGTGATTAACAAAAAACCCTTTGCTTTATCCCCAGCTTTGTGCTTAAAAAGAAAATACTGTAAAGTTTCAATTTCTTGGATATCGAAGTTGTCATGACTTTGTTTGACTGAAGAAAAGAGGATCTTTACAGTTATTCTTTGATAAAATGCTTACAAAACTTAAATTCTATCTATGACTTATTTCCTTGCTCAGAGATTGAATCTTTCTCTTTCTTCCTTTCTCTTCCGCCTTGGATTTGCTCTTTCTTCCTTTCTCCTTCCCTTGGACTTCCTCTTTCCCTTGGACTTCCTCTTTCTTCCTTTCTCCTTCCCTTGGACTTCCTCTTTCTTCCTTTCTCTTCCCCCTTGGATTTCCTCTTTCTTCTCTGGTAAGGAGGTACCAAATAGCTCAGTTGTTAGAGCATCTGCCTCTGAAATCTGAAAGGTCGAGGGTTCAATCTTCTCCAGAAATCTTTCTTTTTATTGTATCAGTGATAATAAGCTTATTTTTGTGAAAGTTTACTAAAATCTGTTAAAATTGTAGTTGTGAATCTGGTAGAAACGCTAATTCATTCAACAATGAGATTCGTTCAGATCCGGCTTTCATTTTTACTATCAATACTTAACTTGTAACCAATCAAATCAATCAAAACTTGTAATCTAATCAATACTTAACTGCTTAAGTGTCTTATCAAAAGCCGATTGTCAACGCCATCAATTGTACTTGTCACGTTGAGCTCAAAACAATGAAAGTTTACCCTTTCAGAAACTTTTCTTTCAAATCGTATTAAGAAAATGTGCTTGATTTTTGATCTCAAAGTATTTTCAGCTTCAAGCCAAGCCCTGCTTAAAATCTTTGTCAAATCTATATAAATTCGATTCTTTTAGATGACAAAAGCTCCTGAATCGACTTGTGGTGATGGTGATTCCTCAGCAGCTCCAAGTCGTGAGCCTCGTTCAATTGTTCTTGATTTGGGTCGACAAACTGTTGAGCATTGGGTTCGCTTTGCGAAAAAGGCTTCCATTTAATTTATTCTTTTTTTATTGTACTTGTTTTACTTGACAATGTTCACTACGATAGTTTGACCAAAGAATTTTTATCTCAAAAAATTGTCGTATCAAGTGAAATTTCAAAGTATTGGAATCGAGGAGAGTCAAAAGTAAAGCCAGGTTAGGTCTTGGCCTGGCTTTAGTTTTAGCTGGCTTGGGTCTAGCAGCAGGCACATAAGATGCCATTGAATTAAACCTGAATTCCTGGTCTCGTTTGACTTGGAGACTTTGATGGAACAACTCTGGTCCTGTCCTACGCGGGCTTACATCCTTTCTCAATCTCAAATATTTGACGTTTCACTTGTTTTTCGAAAATCTTTTCATTTCTTAATGTAATCCCTTTGTTCTTTTTGTTGTATTGTGCCTATTTTCTTTGCTACTTATCAATCCGTCGTTCTTTATTTGTTCTCTTTGAATTGTTCTCTTTGAATTGTTCTCTTTGAATTGTGAATTTTCTGATCGGGTTCCCCTTCTTGTATCATCATTTTGTGCCATTTTTCTCTAAAATCTTGATCTCCAAGAGTTGAAATTTAAAATTTATCACAAAAATTCATGTGTTCAAATAAATGGATGAATGACAAAAAGGCGAAATTTGAGAGGAGAACAAAAACGGGGAGTGGGACAAATGCGACCTTTGCGCACCCGGACATTAGCGCACCTTTTTTTCCGCACCTTGCCCATTAGCGCACCTTTTTTCGCGTTTTAAAAAAGCTCTAAAAAGCTAATATTAACAAATTTCTATTCTAAATGTTGTTTTTCTAGGTAATTTTAGGGCGTAGAATCGAAATTTTGACATATCAGAGCTTGTGGAAACAAACGGACGGTGTTATACAAAGAGAAAAATCGACAATTTTCTGTAATTTGATGTTTTGTCTTTCAAATTGGTTCCACAAGCTCTGATATGTCAAAATTTCGATTCTACGCCCTAAAATTACCTAGAAAAACAACTTTTGGAATAGAAATTGGTTAATATTAGCTTTTTAGAGCTTTTTAAAACGCGAAAAAAGGTGCGCAAATGTCCGGGTGCGCAAAAAAAGGTAGCATTTGTCCCAATCCCCAAAAACAAAATTTTAAAAAATTCTCTTTTCGGCACCATTTGAGAATTTTACAGGTAAACTTTGAGAAATTCAAGGAGAATTCAGAAAAACTCGAATCTAAAATAGTTTTACGAAAAAGAGAAAACCCGTAAACATTATAATTCTTTTGGGATTATAAGCTTTGAGTGGATGAGAACACAGAGAACTGAGAAACTGGAGGCAAAACACGCGAAAAGTGCTGGTCAAAACAGCCAAAATCAAGCGTTTGCGGTTAAGTTTATTTGTGTTTCTAGAAATTGCCTATCTGCTGAAGTTTTGAAGCTGTTTAGAACAAATCTGGGATGAGAAAATGCCAAAAAAAAAAACGAAAAATGGTTCAAAAAGATGTTAACTGAGCTTTTCTGGACACAAATTCTGTTTTAAGTGATCCAAAAGTATGCAAAATGTAGAGAATTTTATTCTATATCGAATAAGAGTAAGGAAAACATAGAAACTTTGCCGTGACGCTGATTTGACAGACCTTGATTGCATGGAACAACTCTGGTCTTGTCCAACGCTGGCTGTTTTGACGAGCTCCCCAAATTTTAGAGTTTAGAGTTTTAAATCTTATAAAGCTCATTTGAATAACAATCAAAATCATAGATTTCCTGTATGCTAATGTCACGGATTCCCTTCCCCACCAACTGTCAAATGATTCATTTGGGCTTTCCGTGATCCTGAGGGGACCTGAAAATTTGGTAAATTAGCTCTGATTAAGATGTGAGAATTTAGTAATAGCTTTAAATGCTTCACGCAATGAACTAATGGCTTAAATTTGGATTATATATAGCTTCATTTATAGACTTTATTCTAGTGACTTCGTTTGCTCAGAGAGTTTCTATCTTTCTCTTACCTATTTCCTTCTCTTTCTTTCTTTCTCTTCTCGCTTGTATTTCCTCTTTCTTTTCTGGCAAGAAGATACCGGATGGTTCAATGGCTAGAGCAAAAGAAAAGGAAAGGTCGTAGATTGAATCCCCTCTCCGGGAATCTTTCTTAGCCATTCCTTACCTGTAACGTTGGCCCGTGAGCCGTTGGCGGTCGAGTTATCACTACAGATTGCTCAGGTTGGGCTATCGAGGTCGGTTCAATGACTGAAATATTAAAAATACAATGGTTAAAATGATTTCAAAGCCAAGAAGCTGAAATATTTATGATCAATTTCAGTGAGAACTTTTTCTACTGTCTGTAAGAGACTCGATAAGAAATGTTGAAAATTGTTATTGCGAAGTACTAAGAAATTAGTGCTTCTGAGATTTTCATATAGAAAACCATGTTCTTTCAACAAACCATGTATTTTAACATCCGATTCAGCATCGAGCATCAATCGAAGACACGATCCACATGCGCCCATCCGATGGATAACCAAAGGGATTGATAGAGAAAAGGAAAGCAATGTTTTCTCGATTTTCTGTAAATAAATTTATTTATATTGACATTAAAACAAATAAAACAAAGTATAATACCCTAAAGTCTCGAGTATAAGTTGATCCGAGTATAAGTTCTGCCTTAATTTACATTCGCTTTAATTGCTTTGAATTTCTTTTTGTAGGGTTTTTATACATTTTTATTGTTATATAAACTTTTATTATTGTTCTTGGAGCGCGAGATACTACAGGGTGACAGCCTATCACCATTGCTATTTGTTATGTGCATGGATACATCCAGACGATAGTGTTGAAGAAGACGCTGGAAAGCATCTCTTTCGACCGTCGACGTGGACTTTGGCCGGATGAAGAGGCCAGGGAGGGATCCATAAGACTGAGCACCGGAGAGGAGCAGGGCGGACGCGCCGAGCCACGTCCGGAGCAACAAATAACAACATAAAATAGCTATAACCCTCAATAAATTTACTTCTATTATTGTTCTTAAAAAGCAAAAAAGTTATGCAGCAGCGGGGTTCGAACCCTCGACACGCCGCACCGGAGACAACCGTCAATTTGCATGCGAAAACCAAACAGAACTTATACTCGCGACTTTAGGGTACTTGAACATATTTAAGCCAAAATCGAAGAATATAACTTCAAAACAGAAGTGCTAGTTATCTCACTGAAGGACAATAGCTCGGAAAGCTTAAGTTTGTCTCGGACAATAGCCTTGTCTCGGAAAGCTTAAGTTTTAAACAATTTTTGTCAAGTTCCTGCGTTTGGCAAAGACAATTCTAATTCTAATTCTTAAATTCTAACTAGAAATCTCGATTTTTAAAACAAAAACAAAATCATTTAAACCGAAAAACAAGTCTAGGAGGGAGGAGACGGCAAAAATTGGCAATTAGAAAAAAAATCTAAATTTCTACAATGCTAGAAATCATAACACAAATAATCTAACAATAAAAATAGAAAAAGTTAGATATATTAGATTGGTAATTTGAAAGTTGGTACTTGAATCCAGTGCACTTTTTACGGATAACTAGTGCACCAATTAATTTACAGTTTTTACCAATAAAATGGCCCATTTATTCTCTAAAACATGCTTTTGACAGTTATAGAAAAGGTTTTGTAGATTTCTAGAGGGCAAGAAGTTGAGCAACCAAAAATGTTGAACACTTGATGAAGTGATTTGAGCACTTTCTTTCACATAAAGCTATTTTAGTGTCAATAAAAAAAGAGAGAGCATAACAAACGATTGATTGGATATAGCTAAATTAGATCAATAGCTGGGAATTAGCTGAATTAGACCAATAGCTGGGAATTAGCTGAATTAGATCAATAGCCAAATTTTCAGCTACATCCAATCAATCGTTTCTGAAGATCCATTTGAAGAATTTTCAGAAAAACTTGAACTTCTGCTCAAATTTGTTTCAAAAGTTACCAAAATTTGCTTAAGCATTTCTTAAATTCGATAATACAATGCGTTTCATTTTCTTAAACGCACCCTCTAAAATAGCGAATTTTGCATTTTGAACACCGCAAAATAGAAACTTTTTGCTAAATCAACCGTTTCAAATTCTTAAGACACACTATGAAAATATTCCTATTTATCGACGCAAATTAACAATCAAAGGTAAAAAAAATCAAAACTAATAATCCGTCAACGCACCAGAACGATTAATTTACCAAAAAGTTTTTATTTTGAAAATTTGACAAAATTTTTGCTTTTTACAGTATGCTTATTTTTCGTGTTTTTTAGGTTTTAAGACATGCTCTTTCTAATAGAAAAAGGTTAATAGTTGTAGCGGTGTTCTAAATGCAAAATTCGCTATTTTAGAGGGTGCGTTTAAGAATTTGAAACGCACTGTATTTATCTGGTGCCCATGTCTCATCAAAAACAGAAAAATGTGCCTTATCAAGAGATAGATTTGGTTGCCAAGAGTCTGCTCTTCATTTTAAAAGAAAAAGTAAAAAGATTGGATATACAATACCGAGCAAAAGTCTTGCAACAACAACAACGGCGGTGGACTGAAGAAATATGAAATATTAGATTGACGATTTGAAAGTTGATACACTTTCTCGTATTCTTTATAAAACCTATTTAATACGCCAATTGAATGAAACTTCTCTAAATAAAAGTTATATACAGAGTCTTGCAAAGTCTATCCAGGGTCTTGCAATGTCTATCCAGTCTTGCAAAGTCTATCCAGAGTCTTGCAAAGTCTATCCAGAGTCTTGCAATGTCTATCCAGAGTCTTGCAATGTCTATCCAGAGTCTTGCAATGTCTATCCAGTCTTGCAAAGTCTATCCAGAGTCTTGCAATGTCTATCCAGAGTCTTGCAATGTCTATCCAGTCTTGCAACATTATCCAGAAACATCAAAAATTAATGAAACTTCTCTAAATAAAAGTTATATACAATACGAGCAAAAGTCTTGCAATATCACTCTATCAAAAATAAAAACAGGGTGCAAGTCTATCAGTCTTGCAATGTCTATCCAGTCCAGAAAATCTTGCATCCAGAAATCTAGATCCAGAAAGTCTTGCAATGTCTATCCAGAGTCTTGCAATGTCTATCCAGAGTCTTGCAAAGTCTATCCAGAGTCTTGCAATGTCTATCCAGAGTCTTGCAATGTCTATCCAGAGTCTTGCAATGTCTATCCAGTCTTGCAAAGTCTATCCAGAGTCTTGCAAAGTCTATCCAGAGTCTTGCAATGTCTATCCAGTCTTGCAAAGTCTATCCAGAGTCTTGCAATGTCTATCCAGTCTTGCAACATTATCCAGAAACATCAAAAATTAATGAAACTTCTCTAAATAAAAGTTATATACAATACCGAGCAAAAGTCTTGCAATATCACTTTTTCAAAAAAAATCGATGAAATTTTTTTTTGTAGAAAATGCCACCCGTTTTTTTTAGGGCTTTTTTTTGTTTTTATTAGAATAATACATTTACAAAAACTAATTTGAAGTTCAGCGTAAAACAAAAAAGTAAATGACAAAACTACTAAAAGATACCCTAAAAACTGGGTGCAAAAGTCTTGCAATGTCTATCCAGAATCCAGAAAATCTTGCATCCAGAAATCTAGATCCAGAAAGTCTTGCAATGTCTATCCAGAGTCTTGCAATGTCTATCCAGAGTCTTGCAAAGTCTATCCAGAGTCTTGCAATGTCTATCCAGAGTCTTGCAATGTCTATCCAGAGTCTTGCAATGTCTATCCAGAGTCTTGCAATGTCTATCCAGAGTCTTGCAAAGTCTATCCAGAGTCTTGCAATGTCTATCCAGAGTCTTGCAACATTATCCAGAAACATCAAAAATTAATATTCAATCGGTCCACCTTTTGCCAAAATCACTTCATTAAGTCGTTTAGGCTTGAGTCGAGGTATCTTTTAGTAGTTTTATCATTTACTTTTTTGTTTTACGCTGAACTTCAAATTAGTTTTTGTAAATGCATTATTCTAATAAAAAACAAAAAAAAGCCCGACGAACAGGTGGCATTTTCTATAAAAAAAAATTTCATCGATTTTTTTGAAAAAGTGATGTTGCAAGACTTTCGCTTGGTATTGTATAGAGCTTTTATTTAGAGAAGTTTAATTGAATTGGCGTATTAAATCGGTTTTATAGAGAATACGAAAAAGTGTATCAACTTTCAAATCGTCAATCTAATATTTCATATTTCTTCAGTCCACCACCGCCCACTCTCTAAAGAATTCGACCGAAAAAAAGTCGATTTCCGGTCGATTTCTCAGTCAGCTTATAGTTTCATTCAAATTGACACGATTAATGGATAAATGTAAATAAAAATTTGAATAAATAAACGATTGAAGAGATTTGAATTCTAGAAAATTCTGAGAAAATCGACGGAGAAGATTGTCTATTTACAGTCAGAAGTACAGTAATTAGTAAAAGACAGAAGTAAGTAAAGTAAAAAAAAGTCGGCTTTTCGATGATAAACCGGGTCTAAACACGCGAAATTCGTGTTCAGTGTCACTGATTACTCCAGGAAAAGTGAAAATTTCAAAAAAAGTGCCCCCCAACCCACAAAGTATCGACAATTTTCTCGACTTAAGGAAGTTTATTAGTTTATTAGTTTATTAGTATTAGTATAAGTAAAAGACAGAAGTACAGTAACTACAGGGTTTTCCCGTCAGAACCAAAAATTATCAACGATTCGTAAAAATAACAACAATCAGTTCAAATTTTTATTCAGAGGTTAAATCATTCAAATTCAGTACAGAATACCCGCCTAGATTTCTAGTGTGAAACCCAAAGATACTGGAATGAATGGCTTGGTCAGTTTGAACTTTCAGGGACTTTCACGGACTTTGAACGGTCAACTTTCACGACTACTGTACTTTCACGACTACGGTCACGACTACTGTACTTTCACGACTACGATCTTGGCTCTACGTTTTTCTACTTATCTTAAAATCTACCGACTTTTGTATCATTTGCTATCCTTTGTAAATCCTTTGCAATATTAATAGATCGAATTTAAGATAAAGGCTACGGTAATTCCTGAAAAGTAGACACTTTCTAGAAAACGAATAATCTAAAGGAATTGAGCTTTACTGTTTGAGAAACCACATTGATTCCTCCATTTGGCTCATCGCAAACCGAACAAAGAACATTTTGAACAAAAAGAATCAAATCTCAATTTTGTGGATTAATTCTTGAACTCAAAACGCAATTTTGAAGTGGTTTAAAAAATGTGAGAAAAAGAGAAATAAGTTTTTTGACGTAAATTGGAGGGGTGAAAAAAAAGATTCGTTTCTCATGAGGGAAAAGAGGAGAAAGAAATGTTTTTTTGATTTTGTTTTTAGATAAAAAATTAATTTCCTTTTAAGATTTTGAATAAAAAATGAAATATTCGCTTAAAAAGAGTTCAAGAAAATCAAAAAAAATCTTTTACTTTATAAAGTTGTAGAACTTTTCAATAAAGAGAATGAATTTGAGAAGATTCGAAGCACTAGCACAAGTTTAGACT